CCCAATGAAGACTGGACTTCTTTTCCCGACCCGTCTCTTTCGGTCTTGGAACTTTTCCTCCCACTTCCTCCTCCCCCTGCCAACCTCCAGGCCTCCACTCTTTCAAATAGACTTTCCCCCTAGCGAATAACACCCAAGCCCCTTGCAGACTCCTGCAGCCCCAGGGAGCATGTTGGTGGCTGGAGAAAGCCAGGAGATGGGCCTTGAGGCTGTCATGCTAACCCCGGACCAGGGCCTAGCTCCAGGGATGTCCCTGGGCAGCGCGGTCACTCTTCTGCCTTCGCTGTCTTGCAGCATCACCATTCCCGTGCAGACCTTCTCCAACCTGCAGATCCGAGGTCAGTAGAGCAGGGCCTTGTGGGCAAGGGGTTGGATTCCTGCCCTCTCCCCCAGGTGGGCTGCTACTCTGGCCTGGGGCTAAGGACCAGGGCAAAGAGGTCCAGTCCAGGGGTCTCCTTGGGATCTTCATAATTCACCGCAGAACTTCCAGCCAGAACACAGCAGCCCAGGGCATTCCAGGTGGGGCTTGTGGCTGCTCTTGTCCTGCGCCCCATTCCCTACCCCTGCACCCCCTCCTACAGCAGAACTGGGCAAAGGTCTCAGCCTCTGCCCTGTCTGCAGATCCCTCAGCAGGCTCTTCCCATCCGAGTGTTTTATGTTTTTGTTTTTGTTTTTGTTTTTTTTTAACTGCTTGTCACTACAGGGGGCAAAAGCACCAAAGAAGGGGAAAGTCACCAGGTCACAAGACATCTCAAAAGCCTCACAATACAAGTTATACCAATACAGGCTCACCAGGTTGTAAATGGAGCCCCGCCGGCTCTCGGTTAGCAGCCTGCCCCTCAGACTCTCAGACATGGTGCTTTTCTTGTTTTCCCCGCCCTCCTGGGCTCCTTCCTCCCAAGTTTCCCTAAAGGGCCAAGCTTGTGTCATTTCCCCAGCGACCTCAGTGCACAGCCCAGAATGTGGCACAGGGTAAATGTAGGCTAAACTAGCCGAGCTGGCGGCTGTTCAAAGTGGTATGTCCTCTGGTGCTCGAAGGAGATGCTCTGGGGCCTCTGGGCAGGTGCCAGCCTCTGCCTCACCTCTTCCCATCCCTGGGAGGGCCCCTGGGGTCTTGCCGTGCCTGGTGGCTGGGTTCTCTGCTCAATTCTTCTGTCCCCGAGGCTCCGCGGCTCAGCTCAGTGCTGATTCAGCCCACAGGATTATTTCCCCCTGGACCGCTGCTCTTGCAGTGAATAAAGTTTTATGCTCCCTGCTCTTAATTTTAAATATTAGTGAGTGTGACATGTTACATTTTTCTCTCGGGGGCGCCAGGGAGCTAAATTACTTCTTACTTGGATGTGGCCTTCAGATGATTCTTATCTAAAGGGGGAAAAAAAAAACCCTACTTCTGCTCTAGAAATTGAAGAAGCTATACATGGCTTAGGGGCCAAGTTCAGGATCAGAAGTTTAATCAGGCAGAGCAGGAGGAGGGAATACTGCCAAGTGCCAAACAGTAAAGGGTCGGTAGGGCCCAGAGAAGTGGCAGAGAGGAGGGAAGGAGGGACAGGGGAACAGGAGAGGGACCCACGTGTATTGGACACTAATACGTGCTAGGCACTGAACATCTATGATCGGAGTGAACGGACTTTGCTCCCACGTAGAGAAGTAGACGCCATCATCCCCATTTTGCAGATAGGAAACCGAGGCTGGGACAGGTAGATTAACTTTCCTATAGCCTATGGCTGAGCTGAGACTTGAGCTCTGGCCTGCCTGATTTCAAAGCCCGTGTGCTCCTTCCTTAGCCCAGCTCTGGGGTGTCAGAAGGCCAGGGGGCAGATGAGAGCTTGCAGAGGGATGGAAATACAGCCAGACCAGGAAAATGGGCAAAGCACTAGATGGAGCGGTCAGGTCTTGTCTAGCACCATGGGGATTTGGGGGTCTAGGCCCTCTCTGCCTGGTTGGATAGACTTTCAGTCCCCATCACTGTGGGTTTCATGGGGAATCTGGGTGGGGGGAGGATGTTTGGTGGCTCAGGAGCCAACAGAAGACCTCTCCTGTCTCCGTGCCTGCAGAAACCAGCCTGGACACCAAGTCCGTGTCAGAAGGCCACCTCAAGAGGAACATCGTGGTAAAGACTGTGGAGATGCGGGACGGAGAGGTAAGGGGAGAAGACGTGAAATTCTGGCCCTGGCAAGCCTGGGCTGCCTCCAGGAATTTTTGAGGGCAGGCTTTGGAAGAAAGCCTAAACTGGCACACAGAAGGTTCTCAGTCACTCGGAAGAGCTTCCGGGGAGGCTCTGGAAGAGGGGAAGGACCCTGGATGTAATTCAGTTCCCTATCCCCTCCACTGGCGGATCCAGGGAACCTGGGTGTGGAGGCCACCGGCTGGAGTCCTGATTCGGACTTTCTCCCTGAAAGCCCGCAGGCTCCCCCAGCACCAGGCCTGGGGAGAGAGAGAAAGAAAATTAACGTTAGTAGCTTTCACTCCCAACTTTCAATTTCTGGCTTGATAAAAGGAACCAGCAGGAGGAATAAGAAGGGGGGGGATTTGACATAAGCCCTCCCCGTCACACCCACGACAGTCCTAGCCAAACTTACATCAGCTCGCCACGTGCTAGGCAGGGTGCTAAAGGCTCACTAGTGTTACCTCATTTCCTGGCTGCTTCGAGGAAGGAGTCCTGGTTACTCTCATAGAAAAAAAAAAAAAAGACCCAGGAAGTCTGGGGATTTCTCCAAGGTCACAAGACCTGGCAGAGGTGGGCCTGGTGTCTGTGTGAGCCCTTGACTAGTGTGCTGTGTGTTTTTCTGTCCCCTGCAGGTCATTAAGGAGTCCAAGCAGGAGCACAAGGACGTGATGTGAGGCAGGACCCAGCTGGTGGCCCCACAGTGGGCCTGAGCAGATGGGATTGTTGCCGCCTCCTCTGATAGCGGAGTTCCCCAGACCCGAGTTCCCACCCGCCCCGACTGCTCCCCTCATCCCTCCACCTCTAAACCAGCTTGCTGCCCTAGACTCCGTGGGTACTAGACCTGCAGACAGCACCTACCTACACCCAGTAACTCCAGCTAACGAGGCACCCAACCCAAAGGTGCAGCCTGGAGGGGCGTGGCCAGCAGCTGGGGTTAGAACTGGGAGAAGTTGGGGAGGGCCTGGGACCCCATAAATCGCCCTCCACATCCCTAATCTCCATTGTCATGGCAACTGTTGCCAGAGCCGGAGGTCCCTGGGGGTAACTGGGAAGTGGGCCTTCGAGTTTCCTAGGGCTGCTGGAGGACAACAGAGACTCTGAGACAGGAAGGGGAACTCCCCATAGGCAAGATAGCCCTGGCCAGAGGTTTCTTCTTCTAGACTGACCCTGAACAGTCTGAGAGTGGGCAGTGACATCCCACCACTTGGGAGTAGTCCCTAGACAGAATGCCTGTCCTGCCCGGATCCCCAAGGGGCCTCCTGAGTGTCGATTCAAGTGTCTCAGTCCCACTGAGCTGACATGGGGGCACACTGTGGGCATGCCACGGGCGTGTTGGAGTGTGGTTCTCAGCACTTGGGGGATCTATAGTGTAAGTGGAGAGGGAAGGGGTGCTGGGAAGGAGTAGATGGGGGCTGCCTGGCCCCTAGGTTGGATACAGAGAGAGGTCAAGCCCAGGAGTCCTCCTTCCATAAGGTTGGAGGGGAGGCATGTGGAGATGGTGGAGGAAGCAGCTGGGAGGACGCCGGACATCAGAGCTGGGGGTTATGGGCAATCAGGTGCCCCTGGCCTGTGGGTCTTGGGAGCCAAGGAAGTGACTCATCTTCTTAACGTTGCTAAAACAGGACAGAGGGGCTGCTGTCCCCAGGACACGCTTTGTCCCATTTCTAAAGGCCCCTTCCTTGCTGCATAACCCCTCCATCCAGGCCTCGGAGCCACCGTAGCTGCTGCCTCGAGACCCCAGCAAACACGGCTAGGTGAAGCCACCGCCATACATGTGACATTCTCCACCCTACGATGACCTGCTGCTTTTCCCTAACCAAGGGCCCTTGTGGTTCCCCTCCTACTCAAATACAAAATGTACCCTCGTATTGTACGTAGCACTCTATTTTACCATTCGGGAAGTGGAGGCACGAGCAGAGTGAAGGCTCTGGTTTGTGCTCTGCTTTTCGGTGGAAAGACCGTGGGGGACAGGCACTATCTGTGCCCAGGACTCTCTGTGCCCAGAAGTAGGTTGAAAGGGCCCACTCCAGGGTCCCCCTCGCCCCTCTAAAGCCAGAGAAATGAGAGTCCCTCCCTCTTTCCGAGTCCTGGTGCCCTTTTCCCCTCTCTCCCTCCTGCCATCCACTGCTGCTAACCTTCAGGGCACTACCGCAGCCTTTACTCACTAAGGTAAATAAAGACAATTGCCATGGCCTTCACCAGAGTGGACACTGATCTGTTCAGGAGAGGCTGGGGCTGGGGAGAGGGCAGGAAGTAGCCTTGGACAAGACTCAACTTGCTTACTGCTGATCGTCTTGGGACCCCAAACCCTGCAGTGGCAGCCACCGGACAGATCCCAACTCCAACCCTGCTCCACATGGCACCCCAGTGCCCTCCACTCGGCCCCTCTTCTCACTCACCTCCCAGCTCTGGGGAAAGCCCTGACTTTGACTTCCCCTTTTCTCACCCATTTTCCCTGTTCTGGTCTTTACCTTTACTCCCAAACCCGTATTCCAGAGACGAGGACATATTCTAGGCTCCCCCATTCCCTCTTCCTTTCCCTGCTGCCCCCAATTCAACCAGCAACCACTTGGCAATCCTCCAAGGCAGAAAATAAAAGCACCCCAAACACTATTCCAACATCAAAAAGGCCATTTCATAAATATCAGCTTTACTTCTTCCTTCTCTGAGCATGAAGTTGGAAGAGACACATTCTGGCTCCTTCTGTACTGGCCTCCGTCCCCCATCTCTCGTCTGCCTCGGGCTTCTCCACCTGCCAGGAGCAGGTTGTAACTAACATATTTACACACACACACACACACACACACACACACACACACCCTTGATGCACAGCTCAGCCAGAGGCATCCGGGATCACTTAACAAACACATCTGAGCCCAACTGGTCTTCCAAGCCGGGAAGAGGAGGGGACCTAGGGAGAGTAGTTGGGCCAACAGCGAGATAAGTAACAGCAGCAGCGACAGAGGTGAATGGTGACAAAGACGGCCGTGATGACCAAGTAGCCTATCAGGGTGAGCTGCACGGCGGAGCGAGTCTCAGGGTCTGAGAATGAGACCCGGTTCTGGCCTCGGGCTGTGACACCCAGCCGCAAGCCGGCGACCCTCACGCCCTGCCGCCAGCAGTAGTAGATGCCCCGGTCACTGAGCTGGGTGAAGCGGATGTGGAGGTGGTTGCCGTGGTCGATGAACACCCGCATGGACCGGTTGACACCTCTCAGGTACTGCGTGCGGTAGAAGTACTGGCGGTCCTTGTCCCAGGCCACGGCATGCTCTGGCCGGGCCCCGGGGCAGGAGATAATGAGTCCTTGGCCCAGCCTCTGCTGGTGGAACTGGATGGGCACCTGAGGCAGCCAGGGCCGGCTGCCCACCTTGGACACGTAGCTGAGGATGGCCACCAAGCCCTCACGAACTTCCTTTTTCTCGCAGGGCACCACGCAGCTCTGCACCAGGAGCTCGGGCGTGTGCTCCCTGGCCTGGGCCCGAAGCTTCTCCGGCACCGCCTGTGAGCCACAGGACACCACGTCGGGCAGGGTCCTGCGGTAGCGCGGGGACAGACCCGGGCTCTGCAGGTAGCACAGGCCAATCCGCCACTGCTCCCCTCGCACCCCACAGCGGTCGCACGGGGTCCACTCCCAGAAGGTGGTGAAGATGTGCAGGTTCCCGTGGTGCTCGTCTGCGAACGGCTCCTGGCCCTGGTCCTTGAAGGTGGCCACCATGTCCTCCCCGCTTTGGACGTCCACGTCGTAGGCATAAAAGTAGTCCCCCTTGCGGGTGCCGCAGAAATACAAGCCCGAGTCCTCGGGCTGCGCCCGGAAAACCAGGAGGCTGAACATGCGGATGCTGAAGCGAACCAGCATGTCGCTGCCCACGCTCACCTGGGACTCCTCTGTCAGCACCCGCCCATCGAAGTCCGTGAGCACTCTGGTGTGGTCGCTGCCCAGGTGCTTCTGATAGTACCAGACCACGGTGGACACCTCCTCAGGCTTGCAGTGGCAGGGAAGCTCGAAGCTCATGTCTGCCAGGTAGGCTGCGTTGTCAAACATCAGAAAGGCTGGGCAGGGGGTCCGCTGGAAAATATTCTCCTGCTCCACAATTTCGAAGGCCTGGAGGCTCCCCCACACCCACAGGAGCACAGTGGTGTGGGCGAGGTTCATGCCCACAAGAGGCAAAAGTCAGAGGGGGCGGGGCAAAACCAAGGCACTCAAGGCCTACGGGGTTTCTAGAAATCCCTGCCAGAAGCGGGTAGTCTCTAGGAGAAAGGACTGAGCAGCCAGGAGAGGAGTAAGAATCTGCTGGGGAAGCGGCCAAAGGCAAGGCAAGTTTATTCCCAGCTGATGTACAAGATGCCCTTCTCGTGTTCTAGATGCGATCTTGAGGGAAAGACCATTCTAGAACCTGGCCCTCTCTCCCCTTTCTAGAACACTGGCACTCACCCAAGAATGGGTCAGGGGAAACCGGAATGAGGAGCAAGGGCACAGGTGCTAGAACAGGCAAATCTTGCCTTCATGCTTTATTTAGGCCCTGCCTGACTGCTTGGTGGAAAGGTCTTCCCTTTGGGCAATCCAGGAGTTGAAGAAGACTCTCCTGCCTGCACGTCTGGCCATTTGAAGCCTGGGAGGCTGGCCTGACCCAAGCTGATGGCTTGGGGCTTTCCCAGGCCCAGCCTACATAGGAATTCAGCCCCCAAGGAAAATACTGGACCTTGATGAGGTAGCATTTGATTATTTGCTGATTAATGTCCATTCATTGATTTGGGGTATTCTTGTTAAGAGCTATGGAGATCAGTATTTGTTTACCACGGAAGATTAATGATTTTCTTTTCTTTTTAAGTAGAGGATTTAACTGGTATAGCCAGCATTTGGTTGGGCACACACTCATCTCTCAGGGCTGCAGGCTAGAGGCTTGGCAGACTCTAAGGGTGGGAAGCAAACCTCATTCAAGTTCTTGGGCCCTTGACCATTGTGCTGCTCTACATAGATCAGAATACTGAGCCTCCAAGGTGGCTGGAGAAGTGGGGAAGATTCGATTCCTGCATATCCTCTGTAAATTCCAAGTTGAGAAGGGAATTCGGGGTGGGCACTCATTACAGTCCTGCGCAGCCCCCAGGACAACAAGCAAAAAATTCTTCCAGTGGTCACTGGGGGCCTCTGCAGGTAACTGGCCCTGTCAATCCACCTGGTACAGCGCTAGCAGCTCCTGCAGGAGACTCTCCTCCTCCTGGAGCTCACCAGCCTGCTCCTCCAGACCCCGCTCCTTCTGGCTGAGCCCCTCCTCTGTGGGCCCGGGAGCACTCATGGCCTGCAGCTTCTGAAACAGGCCTCTGCAGCTCTCTCTCTCTGCGGGGCTCAGCAAGCTCAGGTTCAGGGCGAAGCGCCCAGTGCCCGCCAGGCTGTGCAGGATCCCTAGCACCACTAACCGGTCGGCTGGCCTCACCTGATCAGCCAGTGCCACCAGCAGCTCCCCTAGAAGTCCAAACCCCACGTCCGTCTGGAAGAGGTGACCCAGCTTTGGACCTCCGAGCTGCAGCAGGGCCTCATAGCGCTCTGGCCCGCTCTGCAAGTGCCGCCGCCAATCACGGTAGAACTCTGCGGAGGTCTCAGGCTGGAAAAGTGTTTTCTCCTGGATCACAAAGAAGGAAAGAAAGTCCCAAGCTCTTCCAGCTGCTCTGCGGCAGTGAGAGAGTGACAGTGAGGGGAGCCTGTGGGTTTTTGTCTTAGCTGTAGTGTTGCTCTCTGAGCCCTGGGTAGGATGTGGTCCCTGTGGGCCTGTTTTCCAGATCAGGGAACTGGGAAGGGACAAGGAGGGAGGGGGCCCCAAGGAACCCAGGCCACGATTTGAGACTCTCAGTTGCACCAGGATTTTCCACTGATGAACGTGAACACAGTCCTGCTCTGTGAGAGTAAGTCAGGCTTTACTCTGAGCAGGGCACAGGGGATGGTTGGAAGTCTCAGAAAGAGAAAAAGGAATTCAAGGTGAGTGTTAAAAATCTGACAGGCAGGGCGCCTGGCTGGCTCAGTGCGTTAAGCCTCTGCTTTCAGCTCAGGTCATGATCTCAGGGTCCCGGGATCTAGCCCAGCACCAGGCTCTCTGCTCAGCAGGGAGCCTGCTCCCCGCCCCTGCCCCCCCTCCCCCCGCCTACTTGTGATCTCTGTCGGTCAAATAAACAAATAAATCTTTTTTAAAAAGTCTGGTGGGCTGGACCTCTCTCCCAACACTGACACAGAGGATTACACTATATACCATATAACATGGGGGCAGAGCACCTTAAATCTGATCCGAGAGTGCAAGCCAAAGTCTGAGTGAAGAAGACCAGCCTAGCCCATTTTTCTGACTCGTTCGGCCCAGTTTAACTCACCCTCACCATCTGCTGGTTGCTTTTCTCTCTCAGATGGGAGGCAGAAACCTGCCTCTGTTGGTTTAACATGAGAAAGAAGGAAGAAGTATGTGTTGTAAGAAAACAGGATTGGAGGTTTAGGACGGAGGATCCTACTGGGCGGAGGAGGCTGGGCCTCCCCTACCTGGGAGATTTCAGTGGCCTCATCCTGAGAGGTCTCTCTCTGAGTAGCATGACAGTTCCAGGCCACAGTCCTCTTCCCTCCTATCTTGTCCTTCCGCTCCAGTGGCTTCAGATGTGATGCAAGGACAATCCCCCTGTGGGCAAAGGAAAGAGATCGGAGGATAGACTTCATGCTATGAAGTGGGTGTGGCTGTGAGGTGGCTGCACTTTGCATGTTAGAGGTGAAACTTCCAGCAAGCCAATAGGACAGCAACAGCAATGGCATCAATGGCTGACCATATTGAGCACCTCCCATGGTGCCAGACACTGTGCTCAACATCTTACATGTAACAATTTACTCAACTGTAACAATAATCGTTCTCTTCTACAGATGAGAAATAGAGGCTCAGAGAGGTTAAACAACTTGCATGAGACCACACAGGTAGGTCCAGGACTGAGCCCAAAATTATCTGACTTCCAAGCACATGCTCTTATCCACTACAGTTCACCAAAAACAGGAGCGTCTGAGAAAAACTGCATTAAGCTGAAAAAAAAAAATTGCATTACGCCAACCTGAACTCCTCATAGGAAGCCACCCTCTGTTCCACGGCCCGTAACTTGGCAGCATTCTCCCGTTTGTATTTCTCATCAGCAGTGAGTGCAGCCTGTAGCTCTTTCTCCAAAGCCTTGAAGTCAATGATGTCATTCCTTTCCATGGCCTGTCTCTAGGAAGGCAAAGGGAATGGACATCAGTGGAAGATCAATATCGGGGGAGGAGGATGCGTCTGTACTCTTTGCCAGCCTACAGAATGACCCCAAAGTGCTCTGGATAACTTTCTACTTATCTTGGAGGGTGTTAAAACGATCTAGTCCTCTACTTTACAGACAGGAGCTGAGTTTGTCGCACAGTGAGGACTTGCTTAAGATTTGCCACTGAAAATAGAATACAGAGTTCTGACTTTCAGTTTGGAGCCCTGTCTTAATTTTGTTCTCTGCCTCCAGAAGTATTTTAATTTTGGTGCTTCTGCTGAGGACACATTTGGATCTCAGAATTCAGTATGCAGTCCCTTCACTCTTCCATATGGGCTCACTCCATACCAAGTGACAGAGGACCTCCCACAAAAGAAGAACTATTGTGAAGTATACTCCTGAGCCCAGGGATAACATTTCACCCATCATTCAGTGTTTTCAATGGGGAAAGATACTTTTCACCCAAACCAGATGCAATGACTAAATAAGAAATCAAGCAAAAGTGGCAGTGGAAGGGGTTTAGGGATCTCCGTTCCCAAATCCCTCGGTCCAGACCAGGTCTGGCTCACAGGTCTGTAGGTTCTTGAGCAACCTCTTTAGTTCTGCCACTGTACTTCTGCACCCTCTGCGTATGTGAGGCTGATTGATCCGTTCTACAGGGAAATCATCTGTATGAGTGCTAGTGAGGGCTCTGGTATTTACTTCCTGTGAGACCTCCCTGAACCTCGGACTTTTGGCGCGCTGAGCTAGAGTTTGTGGCCAGCCGTAGGGCAGGGAAGCAGGAGGTCTGCGACCATCCCCATACCTTTTCCCTCCACCCCGGCGTGGGTGAACGAACACCGAGAAAGGGGCGGGGCAGGCCAGGGACTGAACTCAGGTGTCCCGAATCCTGTCCAGTTCTGAGCCCTCCCCAGATTGAAGAGAGAGAACAACTAACCCTTCCGCCCCCCAGCACCTCACCCCAGGACCTCAGGCCTAGGTTTCCTTGCTTTCTTTAGGAATACTTAGACGAGAACCGCACAGCTCAGCATAGACCACGCCCAGCAGCTGTGGTTGCTCAGCAACTGCTCAAACAGCCTGACCACGTGATCGTCCCGAAGGCCCCCCCCCCCCTTTCAAGGTGGCTCCGAAGCGCCTGACCAGATTCTTGCCTCCTAAGGCCTCGGTCTTTTTGGAGCAGCCCACGCCTTGGTTTGAGGGCCCACGACCCCACGTCGCCGGTGTCTGCATCCGTGGTTGGCATTCCTCCCAGCCGGTCCTCAGGCAGAGGGCTGTCCTCAGGGCAGAAACGCGACGGCAGCGTCTGCGGGGTCCTTCCTGACGGCGGGCGCAGCGGTGCGGCGGCGTGTGGCGGAAGCGCGGTCTCCGGCGGCGGACTTGGAGCTTTAGGCTGAGCGGGCCCGCAGGTGAGCTGGCGCGGGTCAGCGGCGGGAGAAAGTTGCTCCGGGTAGGATGGGAAATTAAATGATGTCAGATCTGGAAAAGACGTTGTAGGTTTTCTGTCGCCTTTCACGTTACGGATGGGTAAACTGAAACGTGGAGCGGGAAAGGGAATGGAAGACTCTCCCCCCCACCACCACCCACAGCACATATCTCGATTCCAGGGTTCCCTCACTGTCGACCATCCATAAAATCCCTTCCCTGGACAGTGGTCGTTGTCTTACTCCCTCTTCCATCTGTGCCTTCTTCACCCCTTCTCTACTAAGCTCCCTCCGTCCTTACTGTGTATTCGTTTGAGAGCCGGTGTTATAGCGGGAAGCTGCAGTGAGGTTTGGTGACTAGTTTTGTGCAACTGTGGGCAAGTCAGCTATCTTCTCTGTGCCTTGTAGGAGCCATTCACTCATTCAACAAAAAATTATCGAGGTTTCGTTTTGTGCCAGCACAGTTCTAAGAGAAAAAAAAATCCTTTGCTTAAATTGTAGCTGGGGAGATGATAGTGAAAGTAACGTGAATAGATATATGTGAGCGAGGGACTAGTACTACTACCAATAAAGTAATAATAAAACCGTTAAAGTGGGGGGGTTGGAGAGTGTGATGGGAGGACTGTTTTATGGTGACATTCTCAGAAGTGACGTTTTAGTAGGGACCTGAGTGAAATGATAGAACAAGGTATAAATATCCAAGGGAAGAGCATTTCAGAAAAGAGTTTCAAGTGCAGCGGCCCTGGAGCAGAAATGAGCTTGATTTGTTCTATAAGCAGCCTTTTATAAAAATGTGTGCAGGCACGTCATGGATCTTGGAAGAATG